CTTGAGGCTCTGTCTCAAAAAAAAAAAACAAGAAGATTTGGGATCCACATGTCTGCGTGGATGGGGCACCCTTTGGTGCCTTGGGGAAGGCTGCAAAACGAACAGAAGGAGGATCTCAGATTGATCAGGGGAGAACCCACAGGGAGAATGATGTGGGAGGGACCACAGGAGGTGGGGCCCAAATGAATAGGGGGAGGGGCACTTCTAGCTACTCAAGAAATGGTAACATTAGGGTGGGCATGGCAGTGATGGGGATGTGGATAAAAGCAAGAAGTGAAGCTCAGCTGACAGATTCTCCCAAAGGCGAGAACAGAGAGGCAAAGAGACCCAGCCCTGCCCCTGCACTCCCATCCCCAATCCCCAGGCCACTGACGATCTCTGCCATTTTTTAGGGCTCTGGTTGACATTCTGAGGCATCAGGGGGGGCCTGGGACCCGCCCGGACCGGGCCCGAAGTAGCTCCCTGACCCCTGGGCTGGGAGTTTCCGACAGCATAGCCCCCAGGACACCTAAGAGCCTCTACAACACCGTGAAGCCCACCAACCTCGGTAAGTGGGATGTGGTAGTGACCACACACCTCATCCCTGTAGTTCTGCCTGCCCAGATGGCCTCAGCCCTATTGCCCAAGCCCCAGCCTTTGCTAGCCCTGAATCCTTCTGTCCTTCAACAGCAGTGCCCACAATGGGGAGCAAGACTGGGGACTCCACAGTGTGTCAGACCCCTTTGCTGCCCTCCCATGGACGGCCTGGGTGGGAACCATGGACACCGTGGTGATTTACATTTAGACATGTTCAGCCTCTGCACTCAGACCACCCAACAGCTACACAGAAGGGCACACCTAACTACTGAATTAGAATTTGCAGGGAGCAAGACTGCTTGGGTTCAAATCCTGGTTCTGCTACTGTATGACCTGGGACAAGTCACTTTATTTCTCTAGATCTAGGTTTCCTCCTCCATGAAATAAGAAACACGACAACACTCATCTCATAGGGTAATGGTGAAGGTCAAATTAGTCAGGTATTTAGATCAATGTGTAAAACAGAAAAAACAATACTATGTAATTGTGAGCTCTTGTAATTGTGAAATATAACATATAATTATTATGTATTCATTATATACTATTTCTTAATATAATATATAATAAATATATTTATTATATAATTATCTAAAACATAATATTTTATGTTATATTTTATGATGAGGGCATCAATGGAAAAGTCCAAGGAGATCCAAGGGGGACTAAGAGAGATCTCCTCTTGTTGAGGTGGAGGTGGGCTTCCCCAGGGAGTGCTAGTGGAGCAAAGACATGGAGGATGAGGGGTGTTACTGGGGTGGGGATGGGGGTAGTGGCTCTGGGTGGCTGGACTAGAGCTTGTGAGGCTCTGCTGAGACCTGAGGCAAGGGAAGGGGTGGGCAGAGCCCTCAAGAAGGGCCACGAGTGCCAGACTGAGCTGAGGAGCTCTGCCTTTGTCCTAAGGGTGATGAGGAGCCAAGAAAAGTTAGAGCTGGGGAGCAACACATTCAGATGCAGGTGGAAAAACTATTTCTCTGGAGCCCATGTGAAAGGCAGAGATGGGAGAAAAGAGACTCAGGAGGAGACTGGGATGGGGGTCCAGGCATGAAGAGGATGAGGACTGAGCTAGAATCAGGGATGGAGGGGAGGAAACCAGTCTGAAGAGTGATAAGGAAGAGATATTCAAGCCAGATCTTGAAGGAGTAGGAGTTCTTCAGGCAAAGAGAGGAAGAAAGAATTCAAGGCAGCAAGAACAGCATAGTATCACATTCAAAGGCCCTGTGGCAGGACCATGCTGGGCTCATTTGAGAATCAGAAAGCAGTGTGGTTGAAGGAAGGGATTGAGACATAAGCTGGGAGCAGGTTATGAAGGCCCCAAACCACTCCCAGTTCAACTTGTCCTATGGGTGACAGTGAGCTGTATGAAAGGTTATGAATAGCAGAGGGGCAATTACTGCCATGGTGCTGGTCTTGGGGATGGACTGGGCTGTGTGGTCAGAGGCTGGTTAAATGATCCAGAAAGAAAAGAATATCTTATGCCAGAGACTCAGAGCTCAAGAGGGACCAAGTGGATGTGAGTGGGAGGTGGAGGGAGGAGGCAAGAAGAACCCCCAAGATCTCTGCACTTGGTATGGGGGTAGGTGGTAGAAACTGGTGATGGCCACTTACCCAGCCATAAGGCTGTGCCCACACTTTCCACCTTCAAATCCCCCAGCCTCAGTTTCCCTTTTTCCTTTGATTTCTGGGGCCCTAATGAGCATGGACCAGGATTCTTCCAAGACAACAGGGCAGCAATGCCATCTGGGAGCAGGCAATGGCAGTGACATCACCTCTCTTCTTGGTCCCCCCAGATAATCTCCACCACAACTATCTGCCCCTCAGCTTCAGCAGCTCTAAGCACCATGCTGCCACACTGCATGCAAACGAGGACCTGGTTGGGGAGGAGCTACTCCTTCTCCTCCCACGCTTGTGTCAGACCAGCCCATGCCAGGTGCCCAGTAAGAGCAGGAGTGAGACCTGTAAGCCCAGCCCTCACAGTGCTCACAATCTGGCCAGGTCACCAAGTGAGCCCCGGGTTCCTGTATGGACACCAGAAGTGGTCATTTCCACTCCCATGTGGGTTGAAGGGAAGATGTGTGGAGTGCACCACCCAGCCTGGGGTCAGGCACTCAATAGGTGCTGACAAATGTCATGTGCTTCCCTCCTGGGACGTGTCACCTCCCCAGCAACAAGCCTGACTCCTTTAGGGGGGAATGAGGGAGCCTGAACTGCAAGAATTTTGAGGGGCTAAAATCACAGATTTCTAAGACTCTGAGCATCAGCTGGGTCTGAGGGAGGAGGGGCTGGTGCCCTGGACCCCTGGGTCTGAGGGAAGAGGGGCTATGGGACTGGACATCTGGGTCTGAGGGAGGAGGGGCTGACTGACCCTGGCCCTGCCCTTCTGCCCCAGACTGGCGGGCCATACCACCGCCCAGCCCCTCCTTGCACTACTCCACGCTGTCCTGCTCTCGTTCCTTCCACAATCTCTCCCATCTGCCCCCATCCTACGAGGCCGCTGTGAAGACTGAGCTGAACCGCTACTCCTCCCTCAAGAGACTGGGTGAGTCCTGGGAAGGGCAGTGGGTCTATAACCCCGCAGGAACAGGGCCAGAGTCTGGGTTCAGCACCATGGACAGTAGCCCAAACACCGGGTTTTTCTGAGTTTGTTCCAGAATCACCTGAGGTAATTTTGTATCAGAATTACTTGGGATGTTTTTATTTAATGCAAATTCATGCTCCTCCCCTGTCCCAAGACTTACTGTATTCATTAGGATTTGTAATTGCAATTAATAGAAATACAATTTAAGCAAAACAACAAAAAAAATGGCTTGATAATTAAAATCTGCAAGTCACTTGCTTTCAACCTGGCTAGATCTGGGAGTTCAAAAGCTGTCTCCAGGAGTTCACATCTCTCAGCTTTACTGAATAATCTGCTGGCCTTATTTTCAGGCAGATTCTCCCGCATGATGGCAAAGATAGCCATGACAATTTTCACACTGCCATTGTACCAGCTTATTGCCCCTGTACGAAGAGTGTCTCCCAAGAATCCTATCAAAAATCCCAGACCTGGATCTCATTGACCCAAATTGAACCACATACCCACCCCCCAACCAATTCCTGTGACTCTGATGAAACATTTTTTGGTCTGTGGCTCACTCTTGGCAGGGGAGTAGCCTTCAAACATTTTACACTGCAAGCTGCACTCAAATGCTTTTTATTGGCGGCACCTGTGGCTCAGTGAGTAAGGGTACCGGCCTGATTACCGAGGGTGGCAGGTTCAAACCTGGCCCTGGCCAAACTGCAACAAAAAATAGCCAGAAAAAAAATTAAAAAATATGGTGGCGCCTGTGGCCCAAGGAGTAGGGCGCCGGCCCTATATGCCAGAGGTGGCAGGTTCAAACCCAGCTGCAGCCAAAAACCACAAAAATTAAAAATAAACGAAAGGTTGCTTTAAAAAAAAAAAATAGTCGGGCATTGTGGTGGGTGCCTGTAGTCCCAGCTACTCGGAAGGCTGAGGCAAAAGAATCGCCTAAGCCCAAGAGCTGGATATTGCTGTGAGCTGTGATGCCAGGACACTTTACCGAGGGCCACAAAGTGAGACTCTGTCTCCAAAAAAAAAAAGAAAGAAAGAAAAAAAGAAATGCTTTTTATGGGCAGCACCTGTGGCTCAGTGGGTAGGGTGCCGGCCCCATATATCAAGGGTGGCGGGTTCAAACCCGACCCTGGTCAAACTGCAACAAAAAAATAGCCAGGCACTGTGGCAAGCACCTGTAGTCCCAGCTACTCGGGAGGCTGAGGCAAGAGAATCGCCTAAGCCCAGGAGTTGGAGGTTGTTGTGAGCTTTATGACACCACAGCACTCTACTGAGGGTGATAAAGTTAGACTCTGTCTCTAAAAAAAAAAAAGAAAAAAGAAATGCTTTTTATGGTGGCACCTATAGCTCAGTGGGTAGGGCACCTGACGCATACACCAGGGCTGGTGGGTTCGAACCTGGCCTGGGCCTGCAAAAACAACAATGATGGGTGGCACCTGTGGCTCAGTGAGTAGGGTGCCGGCCCCATATACTGAGGGTGGTGGGTTCAAAACATAGCCCCGGCCAAACCATAACAACAACAACAAAAATAGCTGGGCGATGTGGCGGGCACCTGTAGTCCCAGCTACTCAGGAGGCTGAAGCAAGAGAATCACCTAAGCCCAGGAGTTGGAGGTTGCTGTGAGCTGTGAGAAGCCACAGCACTCTACCGAGGGCAATAAAGACTCTGT